AGGGAGCGTCTCAAAGAAGTAAGCTTTCGTCAGTATTCGGTACAGGAACTCCGACGGTTTGTTCCATTGTCGACAAAATTAACAAACTTCTCAACAAATGTTGGAGAAAACATCGATAGCAAAGCTCTAAAAGAAGTTCGCATTCTTAAAATAGACTTTACATTCCACTTCACCGGATGTCAGATGATGTCTTGGGTTCTCTTCTCGAGTTTGACTTTTCCACTTATTCTGGAAAAGACACATTGCAAAGCACACGTAGACTTCACAAGGGAATCACAACACTTTGTCAACTTGTATTTTGAAGAAATTTCAGGATAGGTCAAAGATAGCCTATCTTGATACCGCTGAAAATTTTGAAATCCGCTCGACAGTTTCAGCCGAGATATTTCTGTCTAAGGCTCTCTAAAATTTAAACGCACTCGAAATCTGAACCACAACTTCTGAAAATGACCCATTTATAATACACAGATTCCTTAATTTCTGAAAATTCTGAAGATCTGACTGGTTTGTTTAGATTTTCACAATACAAAAAATCTGATCACATCTATTCAGTCAAGAATTTTGTTTTTTTTTTGTATTCTGGTGGATTTTACTCCAGAATGATACTCGACTTGATAAAATCAGCAAATGGCTTCTGATAGACGTCCCCCCCTCTTATTCTAGTACAATTTTTCTCAATTTCGCACACTTTTAAAGACAAATAATACTGAATTTCTGTAATTTTCGAAGCTATGTATTTCCTATTCTGAAAGGAATAGCTGTTCTGAAACAAATTTCACCCGATCACAGGATCTGATCCTGAGCTCAGGAAAAATCTAAATGTAAATCAACTTTCCATTAAAAAACAGTTTTTGAAGTTAACTTTCACATTTTTATTTGATTCGAGTGTTATCACGGTGTCGGAAGAAAAACACTTTAGAGAAGGTTTAATGAACGGGAAAGGTGTATTCAAACATGTGAAAGCAAGAACTGGGGGAGCATCATTGATGGGGAAAAAACTTTGAAGAATGGGGGTTCCTTTAGAAAGACGTCTCTGGCATTGGGAGCTTGTTGAAATCGAGGAACGTGGTGAATCCCTTTGGTAAGTTGCAGCCATCTCTTTTGCAATTCGAACAATTCTGGACCAATTTTTGAGGACTTCAAAAAAGCTTAATATTTTCTGCGTCTGTGAAGCACCGAGAAAACGCGAATAATCATATAGCTCAAAAATAACTGAACAAACGTTTTTGGTGGTGAAACGTGGCAAAATCAAAAAAGAACTGACATGGAATGACTCCAAAGTGTTACCCTCGAGAAAAATCGAAATATATATGTTTGAATAGAGCGCAAAAAAACATCTTAGAATCCGAGTGGAATAGATGATAAAAATGTTTTATAGGGAGTTATGGACCAAAACGTACTGAAAAATGGCTAAATTTTCAAAAATTCATAAGTTTGTTAGTTTATGTTCCTTTGTTAAAATTCAAAAAAGCAGTAAATAGACAATCAACAGAGCTTTTGAAAAAAAATTGTTTTGATTTTTTTACTATTGATTGGATTATTGATTTTTTGAGAAAACCAAAATTTTTTTCAATTTCTCAAAAATCCCAAGTTAACCTTTTTTGTTATGACCATTGAATTCAGCACACTTGATTTACTATAGAATCATATCAATATCCGGGGGGAAATCATGTTCACTCAAGTTATAACAAAAAATGTCGATTTTTGACACTTGGCTGCTTTGAATTCGTTGTCCTCGGCGGCCGGTATGGTGATGGGCATACTTGTTTTTGTGGTTCTTACATGCGTATCAATTGCCTAATTTGTGTGAAACACAATTTAATAACATATAATATCAAGTTTTCAAATGCCGTAATATGTCTTAAAATCACCACTTTAAAAAATCAAAATTTGGACATGTAAACAGGCATATCTATCTTTACACTTGACGGAAACAGCCAAACTCTTTTTCCAAACATTATTAGAAACACATTATCTTATCAACGGCTTGAATAGAATTTTGAGTTAGGCCCTGGAAACAAAAACATTTACGATTTTTAGAGTCTGACCCTTTGTTTTGGTGAGGTGTGATAGTCATTCCATGTGAGAGCAAATATTCGAATAGAAATAGAATATGAACATCAGAGTTTTCGAATTAAAAAAATTCAATATCTGGCTGTAATCCGAATTAGCGAAACTGATGTCAGACGCCCTTATCAGTCGGATTAATCAGTTTCTTGTGTTCGTCCCACATTCTCCGACTGTTTTTCGCAAGAACTTAAAAGATATATTTTGCAAAAAGTGCAGCTGTTGAGCAAACTAGTATATTATGTTCAGCAGTACTGAAAACCGGGAACCCTACTGATCCTTTTCAAAATCCGGATTCAAATGTTAACCACAATCAATTTCCAGAGATTGACATTTAACTGAACGACTGGTTTGGAAATTGGCTCGGAACTTTCGATCTCCTCTAACCACAGGCACATTTATTAAAACACATGTCGAAACGCTTCTCAGACCTCCTCTCGTTCAGGGAAAAGCCAGGCACATCCAGGGCGCTGCTAAGCCTGTCTTATTTCATTGCTCACCGAGAATAGTCTTGACTGCGAAAACGTCGTGGAAAAAGTAAAAAAGCTCGTTGAAGAATAAAACGGCCTTACAGAAAGATAAAAGTCATTTGTTGACGACTTCTTTTTAGTGTTCTTAGTTTTTGATATAGCTGTTTTTGAAACTTCCGTGCTTGGACCCATCGGCATCTTTCCTTTCTCTACGTCAACTTTAAAGGTGCATATTTCAAAAAATTGAAAAGCTACCAGAAAGTTTATCACTAGAAGCCGTCGAAGCCGCAAGTGGCAGTCGCATGTGGTTAACCCCAGTCGCATCTGGTTAAATGCTTCTAGAAACATAGCAGAGCTGACCCTTGCTTCGTGGTGAGGTTTTGTCTTTTTGATATGAAATTCAGAACTACATATGAATTTTTTCAGAAATAATGACAACTGCCATGAAGAAGAGCGAAAAATTCGTCTGCAGATGAATGACATCTTTCTTACTCTTGCACGACTACACTTGATAAGGACTTTTGATCATACTTGTGAAGGGCCGGGCC